ATATTACGCCGTCAAAGTGCTACAGAAGAAAATCATCATGAAGAAGAAAGAAGTAAGCCCTTTTAGATATGTTTTCATCCCACTCACTCCATATTCCTTCTGCTATATAATGTCATTAACTTCTATATATTCCTCTACAGCAAAAGCATATCATGGCTGAGCGCAGTGTGCTGATGAAGAACATCAAGCATCCCTTCCTGGTGGGGCTGCACTACTCCTTCCAGACTACTGACAAGCTGTACTTTGTACTCGACTACGTCAACGGTGGAGAGGTGAGTTCAAATCTCACAACGCCCAAAAAATTAAAGCAAGAGCTTCAAACTAGAATCAGAATAACATAAAAAAAATAAGTTTCAAGCTGATGTTGACAGATGTTTGTCTGTTTTCTCTCCAGCTGTTCTACCATCTTCAGAGAGAGAGGATCTTCCTGGAGCCCAGAGCCAGGTTCTATGCTGCTGAAATTGCAAGTGCTCTTGGCTACCTCCACTCCCTCCACATTGTCTACAGGTAAAGAGCGATCCTCCACCGCCCCCTAGTGGACATACATTAACATGACACTGAATTGAACTGAAGGCATGACTGCGTGAGAGTAACTTTGAAGCTTTTGAGTCATTTTTGTAAACTCTTTCTTCCTCTTCTTCACAGGGACCTGAAGCCTGAGAACATCCTGTTAGACTCGCAGGGACACATTGTCCTCACAGACTTCGGCCTCTGCAAAGAAGGTGTTGAGGCCAATGGTACAACAACAACCTTCTGTGGGACGCCTGAGGTACAAAAAAACCTAATCTCCAGCCTTTCATACATCAACACAGAAACTCCACCAAGGACAAATTATAACTGTCGGACATGGGTTGACTCTTTCTTGTTGCTTTCTCCGCAGTATTTGGCCCCTGAGGTTCTCCAGAAGCAGGCGTACGACCGCACAGTGGACTGGTGGTGTCTGGGATCAGTGCTCTACGAGATGCTCTATGGACTCGTAAGTGAAATCTATGACTTTATACCTCTTTAGTGCAACTCTACTGCTCGTTTGTGCGTTAAAAGAAACTTAATTTGTTGTTGTGTTTGCTTTACAGCCCCCGTTCTACAGTCGCAACACAGCCGAGATGTACAACAACATCCTGCACAAGTCTCCTGTCCTCAAGCCCAACGTGTCAAACTCGGGCAGGGAACTGCTGGAGGGGCTCCTGCAGAAGGACCGGACCAAGAGGCTGGGAGTGAAGGATGACTTTGTAAGTGTTGTAACACAAACAACTGCAGGAGATCTGTGAAGCTTGATTGCCATCAGTCTGCTGATCTAGTATTTCTTTTTCCCTCCAGCTTGAACTCAAGTACCACTCCTTCTTCTCTCCAATCAACTGGGAGGATCTGATGGCCAAGAAGATCACACCTCCATTCATCCCCTCAGTGGTAAGTTCAAACTAGGGCTGTAAATTCTGATTTATTTTCTCATCAATTAATACATTTAGTCTATAAAATGCCAGAAAATATTGGAAAATGGCATCATTTTTTTAGAGCCAACTCGTCCTTTCTGGCGTGCCTGCTTTTAAAGGCCTAAAATATTCAAGCCACACCACTCCAGAAATTTCATCAATCATTACCAATGTTAGGGTACACAACTAATAAAAAGTATTAAGTAAGTACGTTTTTTAGTTAGTTAGTTTATTATTTTCCCTTCGTAAATAATATTCCATCAACTTAGTTTCACTCCATATTTTCCCCTGATCCTCCACACACCTCCTGCAGTGGCTCTATGCCGCAACAGGGGGCACTGCTCCACAGTTTGAGAACCACTGGTCAAAGTCAGCTGTTAAAAACAATCTAAAATCCTTTACTGTAGGGCTGCAAGTGACAATTACCTTGATTAGCACTTCATATAGAAATTCGTCGATTAATTGTTAGGTCCATAAACTGTCAGCTAATAGTGAAAAATGATCATCACATTTTAAAAACCCAAAGATATTCAATTTAGTATCACACGAGACTTAGAAATCCATAAAATATCCAAATTTAGAAGCTAGAAAAAGTTAATTATTGCCATTTATGCTTAAAAATGTTTTGTCTTGTTGATGAGTAATTGTCTAACTACTTAATCACAATCATATAAACACTGAACTGAGTAAATCTTCACATTTAAGAAGCTGGAACCAGCAAATGTTTGGCGTTTTTACAATCAAACAGTCGATATATTACCAAATTACAGCGTCATGATTCATTAATATAAACATCTATTTAGTTACATGTCTAATTCCTGTCCGTCCTGCTTGGTTTCACAGAGCGGACCCACAGACCTCCGACACTTCGACCCAGAGTTCACCCACCTGCCCGTGTCCTCCTCTCTGTGCACCGAGACCCTGACTGCTGTGACCAGCAGCGTCAAGGAAGCAGCCGGAGCCTTTCCAGGTTTCTCCTACGGACCGCCAGCAGACCACCACTTCATGTGAACGCCAACATCTCTGCACTCCTGTCCGGGTGGTGGGGGGGAGGATAAAAGCTCTGGATTGAGATTTTAACCCCCGAGGGGGGACGTTACACAGCCTGATAAGTTAGCCGGATCTAACTGACAAAATGGGAGGAGCGAGGAGGATCTTGTGCATGAAAAGTGTACAGATGAGGGAGGGGGAGGACTCTCTATTACAACACCACCGGCCCTACTCTTCTGCCTCAAGCACCCAAAATTAAAATATATACGTGTGCCAAGTATGGATGCACTGTGGGGTTGTTAACACACGTCTGATGGCTCTGGACCTCCCAGCTACTGGCGAAGCGACGTGAAGAAAGAAGTGCCTGAGGTTCGAAAAGGCAGTTTGGACGGCAGCAACAGTGTTATCAAAAACCATTTTACTTGTTTTTTTGTTGTTGACCTGGGACGCTGGCTGTTAAGGGTTGATGCCTTCATTATGTGTCTACATATGTTAAAACTGTTTTTGTCCACAATGTGTTGTTACCGTCGTGTAAATGCTCGATTGAACTCGAAGAAGGGTCAGGGAAAAAGTGATTCGTTCTGCTTTTAAGCATCAGCAAAACTGTGGATTAGACGGCTGCATATCTTTCCACTTTTTATTTTCATATCTCTAGTTCGGACAAAGAAGTAACTGCATTTCAATACTGTACACTAATAGTGACACGTGGACCAAACTGTTAACTATGGTACGCTTTAAAACAAACACCGGTTTGTCCTCATAAAACTGAAGATCAAACTTTTACTGTACTGTGTAGAAGAGAAGAGTTACATATATTTTATTGCAAAAACCAAAAGGTTTTCCATATTTTAAAAACCACAAACATTCTGTTTTTACTTTTAAGAAAGCATATATTATAAATGAGTTATACATGTATATTAATATATATAAATTATATTTCCTGTGAGGCAATATATATTTTATTTTGGGTTTTTTTTTTTCATTTACAACCAGTGACTGTGTTAATCTATATCTGCTGTTGGCAAACTTAATGGAAGACTGCTCTTATTGATCAGGAGAGTTCAACCAGCAATAACAGGCCCACATAAATGATAGCACATACTGTAATATCAGTCGTCTTTCAAAATTTAAGTGATTGCTGTTTTTTTGCAACACTCCAGACAAACTTCACAATCTGTGATTACAAATGTTTTTTTTTTGTATTTATGCATCATGTAGAGAAGAACTGTGAATGTCTTGTGCCTGTCCAAGGCGGCCTGATCCATATATACTGTATGTACATATCTCTTCTCCCTACAAACCTCTTTGTCCCTTTTTTCTAGAAGATAACGTTTATGAGAAAGTGCTTCATTCATTGTGGAGAAGAACCACTAGGTGGAGCAGGCGCTGGCTGTTTAACCACACTGGCCTACTGAATAATACGGTTCTGGAAAGTGCAATAAAATCCTGTTAACTCAGAAAGAATTATTATCATTTAATCTCTTTTAGCAGAAAGTGTAAGTTGTAATTTATGATCTGATATGCATTAAGTTATTAAGAGAGGATCTGATGACTTTGTTTTGCCCCATTCAGTTTTTATATTTTAGGCGTTTTGCATCTTCATGCCTGCTGAAAAGAAAGGAAAAAATAAAATAAGGCAACACACAGTTCTAGATAATTTTCTTCCATATTTGGAAGCGTTACTTTTTTTCTGTTTTGTATTTTTTATGTATATTTATTTTCATGCCACTGCTACTGTATAAAGAAGTTAATTTACATGATCAACTGAGATACTGAACTGTAATCTGTGTCAGAAATGGCGAATAAATTCCCTAAATTAAAGGCACGTGTGCTGTTTTTATTTGTAATGCAACTGGTTATACTTTTATAATTACCTACAGTACTACACTACATAATTTAACCTACCTTATTTAATCTGCTGAAAACTTAATTAACTCAATTAATTGCTATAAAATGACAGAATATAGTGGGAACAAGCCACTCAGCTATTACTAAAGCCCAAGATTGAATCTTCATAAGACTTATTTTGTATAATTTAACAATCCAAAACCCAAGATAGTCAGTTTATTATCACACAAGACAAAGAAAAGCAGCAAATCATCGCAACTGACAAGAACAAGATAATTATTTAACAATCAGAACAGTTTATTTGCTGATTAGTTTCCTCACCAACTCATTGTTTTGACTCTAATTGTATTTTTAGGAGTTAATTGACTATTTAGGATGAACCTTCTTCCTAATAATCAACTATATTATCTTTTTAAACCTTTTTTACGCCTGTACATTTTATAGTGTTTGTGCTTTATCTGACCTTTTGTCAGAAATATATATTAATCAAATCACTTTTGACAAACTTTAACTTTAAACTAGAACTCAGCTACCTTAAAATTAGAATAAATAATAATAATTAAATAATAAACAAACTATTTCCTACAGTTATTTGACATAAACATGCATTCATTATAACCAAACAGCCTTGAGATGTTCCAACAGATGTCTTGTCTCACCTGTGCTGACGCGCACCTGTCGCCTGTCGTCGCGCCAAACGACCCCTGTAAAACAAACGCACCGCACATGCGCAGTAGGCCCAGCAACGACAACTTCCTGCGAAATAGTGCTCCCTAACAACAGACAAAGCTTGACACAGTGGATTCACCTGAAGGCGCTTTAAATAAAAGCGTTTCTCGGTCACTCCTTCAATGGTAAGACTGGTTTTCACCATCTCGGGGTGTCCGGAGGTTTTGTGTTGCGGGTTTCGGTGCAGTTCGGCGGTTTGGTGCAGCGGGAGGGAGATGCTCTCACACGATGCCGTTTCAATACCCACTCCAATGGCTGCTGGGGGCCGGCTAATTTCTGGAACTAAAAAAAAAAACCAAAAAACTTTTAATGCCCGGGCCAAACTAAATAACTCTCGGCCATCTTTGTTATTTAACCACATGGAAACTACGGATAAGTTAGTCAGACTCAGTGTTTATTATATATATATATGTGTGTTTGTGTCGGCTAACGGTGGAAGCTAACGTCCCTGTTGGGAAGCTGTCACGGTGGCGTCTAAATGCTGGCGCGGTCCGCCTCGTTAATGTGTGTTATAGTTGGTGATAGTCGCTGTTATCAGTCGCTGTTCGATAATGTGCGTATATCTACCTTCGTGTGTGTTGTGTGCGGATTATATTTCAGCCGCTTTGTGGTTTTAGTAGCTTGTTTTAGCTGAAGGAGCTACAGTTTTCCAGGAATTAGCCGCATGTCAGACTTCACCTTCATAGCAAAGTGTCCACGGCTGGGGTTATTTGCTGGATTCAGCTAACGTTAATGGGAGTCGACTAACATTTGGAGTTGACCTGGAGAGAAAGTGTTCAGTGTGCTGTTCGATCAGACTGTGTAATGATTACCAATCACTGACCAGGCACAGTTTTTTGTTTTGGTCAATCAATAACATCAAGTGAAAGGTTGCATAACTAGAAAATACAGTCAGCTTCATCTGTCTGCACCAGAGATCAATAAGTATCTGCAAACAGTCAGTTCTAATATAAAATAAAGAAGTCTCTGATGTTTTTCAGCATATAGTACAGCCCTGCCTCCGGTTGGATAACTAACTCATATTAAGACCTTTTGGTTTCCTAGAAAAGAAAAAAGATGACACTAAAAATTGTTAGAAAGGTTGTTTGAAAAGGCTTTTTATGGTATTATTTATAGCCAAAAACCTTAACCTCTAACATAGAGTATTTCCACTCATTTGTTTGCAGTCAAAAAAGCAATTCAACAAATCAAAGTTAAATTAATATTTACCTTAGGTTGAAATGGATCTCAGCCAGTATTTCTAGTCATTAACACCTGAACAGTTCCCTGAAGGAGAAAATAAACTCTAAAGTGTCTCTGAATATCGTCTATTTCCCTTTTTAATCAGTAACAAATTACATGTTTATTTCTAGGGAATTATGCAACCCGTCAAACACAAGGTGGTTTCTAAATTAATTTTTGTCAATTAGATGAGAATCTCCTCCAAATCAACTCCCAACACAGTATTCGTGCCCCAAAGGGCCTCAGCTTAACGGGTTTTCCCTGGTCTATGGTGTCCCCTAGACGTGATCCTTCACCTTCTGGGGAAGAGACGGCAATCACTTGAAGCAGAGACTCCCGAAAGGATCCTATATCAGGGCGATGCTGTTCCTCAGGTAGCGCTATTCAACCCGAGTGTTGTGACGCTGGCAGAGGGAGAGAGGGGACTGTGAGCGGCTCCGTTACCGGTGGCAACGGCAGGACGGACAGCGGCTTCGATGAATTAAAGTCTGTTAAATCAGCCAGATTATAAGCAGCATGTAGAATATATATAAACTGGAAAGTCTGGTTTGATGAATTAGCAAGAAACTTTATGTAGGCTGTGGTCCAAATATTTAAAGTGTGTAATTTATCATCCGGTGGCCTTATTTTCCTTCCGATGTAACACATTTTTTGAGTTCACTCACATAAATCTTACCTAAGCCTCCATATGTGTCGACCAATTCAAGTGGCACTCTTTTTTTTCTTTCTTTTTGTGTGTGTGACCGTGAACGTGTCGCCCACCGTTAACGACTACCTGACACATTCGTGCGGTATAGAATTTGCAGCCTGACCTATTTTCTCTCTCTGTGTTTGTGTTATGTCAGTTAGATAAATCTTCCACCTCTCCAGCTCATAGGAAAGGCCAGTTGAGCGAGCAGTGCACAAAATGAGGTTAGATCTTATCCGCCCCGGGGCTTCTATTGATACGACAGCTTGCACTTGAGCACCTAATGCTTCTGGAGAATATGTTTTCGTTCAATGAAGGTTAGGTCACATGTAAGGTGGCACGCTTCCTTAATCCCCCCAGTAAACACAAACGTGGTGGGAACATTGGGCAACGTCAGTGTCACACGTGCCTCACCTGCAGGTCTCGTGCTGGAGATTAGACCAGGGTGCCCCAGTTCCTCCATCGCCCGCCACCACCCTGCTGATCCCCCCCCCACCCCCTCCTTCGCGATAGAGGCAAGAGAGGGATGCATCGGTTAGCATTTATGGGACAAGGGGAGGGGAGAGTCACGCAGCGGGAAACTACATAAGGTGAAACCCCCCCGGTCATTCATTCTGTGCCTGTGTGTTTTTTTGCTCCTGTGGTTGTGTTAAAGCAGGGTCCGGACGCGCTCTCCAGGTACAGAGAGTAGGCTGTGCGCGCAGACATGTCGGGTCGCTCTGCTGCAGAGATGGATGACTCGCAGGAGCTGCCTGAGCTGCCGGTGAGTCTACCCACAATGACGCCAACACAGAGCGAGAGGGAGGGAGGGGGGGTGACGGCGGCGGCGGGGAAGTTTGAATAAAAATAACTCTGTTTATAAATTGGTTTTGAGATGAAACGTTAAATAATTTCAGCACTTTCATTGTATTTGTGGGATTCATGCAGATATTTGATCATTCAGGATCTTATGCATCTCAGATCTCACGTTCAGGTCGTTGCTGCAGGTTTTAATTGAACAGAGTTGAACAGATTATTGGTATTTTAGGGTTAAAGGATCTAATTAAGGAAACATGAGCGTAGCTGAATATGTGAGATTGATTGTGCTGTTGAAATGAGGAGCTGACTTGATTGATGGAAAGGTACATACATTATAAATTGAGTAGATTACCCATTGGTTGTTTGACTGTTGATCAGCCAAAATATTGTAGATTAAAACCCTGATGTACTGATGTATAGTTTATTTTTAATGCTATAGAGCAAATATGTGTTCTGCATCATGAAAGAACCCTTAAACTTCTGCAGGACCTGTGTTTGAAAGTAGTGTTTGAGTCCTTTTTGTATTCACCTTTCATAGGCAGATTAGGACCGTGGCTTTCTTATTTTTATTTTCATTTGCCTTTCTTGGTTATTGAGAAGAAAAAGATGTATATCACAGTCATTAAAATTAGGGTTTAAATCATATCATGGTTTCAATATTAATCACAGTAAGTTGGAATGAGCATCGCAATTTTCATCACTCATAATGATGTGACATTTTTGTGGGGTTTTCTTTCATCTGGAGAACTAAGAGTTGTAGGCCAGGGAATCTCTACAGCTCTTTATTATAATGCTGTTTAGTCCCACATTTCACCTTTGCCAATGAATTGCAGCTTCTGTGATCTGGATATTGCAATTTTAAACAACTGTACCGCCCTACTGACAGTATGCTCACAACCTTTTCTATAAACTTCTTTTTGTGTGCACAGACAAAGAAGGCCAAGCTTGAGATAGACGGTGGACTGGAGAAAGAATCAAGGTTGGTCTTCAGTGATTTTTAAATCTATTTCTGATCTTCTAAATCTTTTAAATTGCTGCTTACACATTCTGATGAGAGCAAATATTGAGTTTTGAATATTTATTAATTTAATACATGTTAAAAACCTTTTGCTCATAGTGGTTTTCTTTTGTTTAATAAAGACTTTTTCTACTTCGGCTTGTTTTTTTTATGTGATTCTGTGTTTTTGCCAGCAGAACGTCTGTAATTATAATGAATTCTTTATGCTCTTCCAGTAATTTAGGTGACGATGGGAGTCCAGCTGCTGTGTTAGGTTCATCAGAGCAGGAAAGCTCTTACTCTGCCCTCTCCACAGCCCAACTTGATCCAGGTGGGTAGAACATAGATGTGCCAGCACTCAGAAGCGTTCCTGGAAAATATAATAACATAATATAATGATATATAATCTGCGTTTGATTGCAGGTGATCAGGAGCAGTCGGACGCAGACAGAAGGGCAGCATCTCAAGTGTGCGGTGACTCCATGAACTCGTATGGACATTCTGGTATGAACAGAAATGCTGACTCTAAACAATGCATATTAAAGGGCTGAAAAGAAAATAGTTCCTCTTGTATGTCAAACTGAAGCTTTGTTGTCTTTTGTTTTGACAGCCACAGACACAACAGCCACATCCGAATACACCCAACAGGTGTATCAAGGAAACAAGTGAGTATGCTGCACAGAACAAATGTGAATATGTGAAATGTGATGTCTAATGCAGTGCTCCGGTGTGCCATCATTTCACTCATGCAAGTAAAATCCATCTAAGTGTGCGTGCACTAATCTTGGAGACTGTGTCTGTGCAGAAACAACACTTTCTACTTTAAGTTTTAAACTACACAAACTTGGGATAAAAACACACCAAGTATGATGCATTATTGAAACAAAGTGCTGCTGAAGAGTGAGAGTTGGCCTCATCTCTTGTGTGATCAGACTTGTTTAGCACATTAAGGTCTCCAGCACTGGGTTTGTTCCTGACAGCCTTTTTGTATAAATTTCAACTTTGGCATCACAAAATACCGTCTTATGTTCCTCTAACAGAACTCTTGAAGACGAAGGTCTCAGGCTGACTTTCCCATATATTATTCCAGTGTTCCTCAGTTACTCCAGGTGCAAACAGGTGCTGGTTTAGCCTGGAACAACCCTGCATATTAACAGCTACATGAAGTGCAATTAAAGTTGCAAGTTGTTGTTTTTTTGCAACTTATTTCCTCCTCTTTACTCAAGTAAAAGTACAGATACTTCTGTAAAAATAAGACTCCAGTGAAAGTGCTGATTCAACTTCTTTACTTAAGTAGGAGTAAGAAAGTGCAGGTAAAATGTACAAAAGTAAAACAGAAAGTAGTCTTGGTACCCTCCTGGTTTCACTGGAAGGTCATTTCCACTGACTCTTTCTGTGCAAAGCAATAATCAATAATTCCCCTATAATGCATTGAAACTAATTTAAGGAGCCTGTTTTGAGAAAGTAATCAGTAGAAAGTACAGATGTATGTGTTAAAATGTAGGCGGCAAAAGTAAAGAGAAAAATAAGTACTAAAGTAAAGTACAGATGCCTGACAAAACTACTGAAATACAGTAACTAAGTATTTGTGCTTTGTCACTTCCCACTTCTGCCAGGGAAAAAAATTGGGGATAAATACAGTTTTTTGTGTCCAGGAAAGGTTTGGGTGTCTAATTGTAGATCTCTAGTTTTACACCTGCAGGTATTTCCCCAGATTTGATTCAAGTACTGATCCTCTTGTTCTCTCTCTCTCTCTTTCAGCCCAGCAGTGACGTCGTACACCAGCCAGGTGGCCTTTCCTCCTCTGGCCCAGTCCACTGTGTACTCGGCCTTCCCTCAGACAGGCCAGACCTACGGCCTCCCGCCCTTTGGTTAGTTCCCCACTCCTTCTCTAACAGCCTCATTTATTTCTGCTCACTAAAATACCCAGCAGCACACCTTTTTGTCACTTCGCTTTAGAGGCCTTACTGTGCTTTGGCGCTGTGGAATTGATTTTTTTGCTTTTTAATCTCTGCTTAAACACAAAGTCCAACATCTTGACTGAAGGACCTGGTTTCTAAACTTCTGCGCCATCTTCAATGACCCACTCCTCTCGCCTCCTTTCATTCTCTGCTTCCATTGCTCTCTTTCATCTTCAGGTGCTATGTGGCCAGGCATTAAAACAGAGACAGGGCTGCCTGAGGCTCCCTCTGGTGGCCAGCCTGGGTTTCTCAGCTTCAGCACCGCATATACCTCAAACCAGCCAGGCCATCTGCACTACTCATACCCCAGCCAAGGCAAGCTGCAACCTCACTCTTTCTCACGAGATAACGCTGTCAAACTCTCTGATCAAAAGAGAAGCACTTAAAAAAAAAAAAAAAGGAGATCTTGCAGTGGCACAACTCTGTTTCCCCCCTCTCTTGTTGTTTGTCACTTCAAATTCTGAGTACAAATATTTATGTATTTTCCTCTGCCGCTGTTTTTAGTTGAGCCTTTTTCTGTCTTCAGGCTCCAGCTTCACAACATCCAGTGTGTACTCCAGCATCCCTTCAGCTACAGCCGCCACCACAACCTCCACCACAGTGGCCCACCAGGTGAGGAGCACATTAGTGTTCTTCAGAGAGACGAAGAACAAAACTCTGTCTGTGTGTTCATTGTCATGAAAGTTTAAAATTACCAAAAGAAAATCCACACTGCAACAGCTTGAATATGTCACAGATATAAAGAAATGCCACTGTGGCAGGAGGGTGATCCAGCCAGATTACACATGAACAATCTGGTGATCAGTGAATGAATCTGTCTTCCACAAGCAGCCACAACCTGCCTGTTAAGCCGTTAGCTAAGTAGTGTTCAGTCTGATTGTAGTTTTCTTGGTTGGCTCAGATTCAGTTAGATATCTCAGAGCCAGAAAGTGTGTTGTGTAACTGGAATAACTGCATATTAAACAACTTAATATGATGAATTGAACATTTTCTACATTGGTGCTCGCTCACTGACACAGAACCTAACTTTATCACAGTTATGGTGAATCATATGAGAAGATCTTAAAAGGCGGAGATTGTTTCTGCGCGTTGCTCTTTTGCCACCGCCCTTCTCCTGTTGATCCTCCTGTTGTTTTTTTTTTTATTTCTTCAGGAATTTAGCAGCTACAACTCTCTGGGCCAGAGTCAGTTCTCTCAGTACTACAGTCTGCCTCCCAGCTACGTGCCTGCCGGGCTGCCCAGCAGCGACGACCACAGTGCCGGTGTGGGAGTGGCTGGATATTCAGCTGTGAAGTCGGAGCAGGCCGCCTCAGCTGGACTGCCCCCCAGAGGTAATTTCAAAACTTTGATTTATATTGTTTCTGTTTAACTTTAGAGGTAGATTATTTTATGATGGCTTTCTCTACCATTATTACCACATTATATCCATTAATTTAACCTGGCTGCAGCTCTGGATGTGGATTTGTAATCCTGGTACTTATTTGAGCCATAACAGATAAAATGTATTATTCTGGTACTAATTCCAAACATTTTTGTACTAAGATGCGTCCCCACCGGAGAACCTCCCAGCAGGTGCGGCCCTTCCTACCAGTGTGGTCCTCCCCACTGGAGCCAGAGATCAGGATGAGGTTGGACGTAGGAACTCTGTTGGCAAAGCCAAAGGGAAGGCCAAGAAGTCCGATAACTCCCCGCCTGCTGAGAGTGACCTGGAGGTAACCGACCAGCAGCTGTTTTATCACTGCACATACAAACAAACCGATAAGTGCTTGTTGCACTGTTATTAGCTTAGCAGCATTTTGGAGTTTAAGGCAAAGCTAAACCCATGTTGTCTGGATCTAATCACATGATCTGATGAGATGAGTAATATAATTATTCTCCCCTTCTGTTTTTAGCGTATTTTTCTGTGGGATCTGGATGAGACCATCATTATATTCCACTCACTGCTCACCGGCTCCTACGCACAGAAGTTTGGCAAGGTTTGTTTCAGTAAAGTTGGAAGAAGTTTGGAGCGTACAACGTAAAAAAAAGTTAACTTGAGTTTATTGTTTATTTGTTCAGGACCCAGCGACAGTGCTGAACTTGGGCTTGCAGATGGAGGAGCTGATCTTTGAGCTAGCAGACACTCACCTTTTCTTCAATGACCTGGAGGTACAGTGAAATACATTCAGACTGGTGTAACCAGTTTTAACTTCTGTCTGTCAGTCGCAGCAGGTTACTTCCCCATAATCTATTTTTTTGACGATCTGTATGAGTTTCCTGATCTCTTATCAAGCTCCCTGAGCTCTGGAGAAACAGAAGTTAGTTAGAAAAGGGCGGAGACACAATGGGCTGACATCCACAGCCAGTAAAAGTGTCTGTCTCAAGTTTTATTTTGTTTTGTTTGTTTTAAAGGAATGTGATCAGGTCCATGTTGAGGATGTTGCCTCTGACGACAATGGACAAGAACTGAGGTGTGTTTTATGTCCTGTAACGAACACATACTAAACAGTACAGTCACACACGCATTGGTCTTATTACACACTTCAGAGTCATGACTGGAAACATCCAAATAAATGTTGTGTTTCCCTCCTAATATTTAGTAACTACAACTTCTTGGCGGATGGCTTTAATGGTCCCAGTGGTGGAGGGGCATCAGGAACCACAACGGGAGTCCAGGGAGGAGTGGAGTGGATGCGGAAACTGGCCTTTCGCTACCGCCGGCTAAAAGAGATCTACAATAGCTACAAAGGGAATGTTGGAGGTTAGTCTTTCACACACAGAGATTGAAATGAAAGGACAACAACTGTGCCACTACTTTGGTTAAACTGAAAAGTAGACTGTATAGAAGTTTTTTCACCTTGAGTCGTGTGTATCAGCTTTGAATGACCTGTTGTTGATTGAGCAGTAGGACTGGGTGTTATTATTTGATTAGGCAAACCAGATCTTGAGTTTTCCCGACAAACAAAGTAATGTTAACAGCCCAGTGGCCAAAATAAACAGAACAGTTTGTTTGTGTTAAACACTTCTGTTGTCTGTTTCAGGCCTGTTGAGTCCTATGAAGAGGGAGCTGCTTCTACGGCTTCAGTCTGAGATCGAGAACGTCACGGACGCATGGCTCAGCACAGCGCTCAAGTCTCTGCTGCTCATCCAGTCCAGGTTTTTATTTTTTTACATAACCTCAGCAGCAAGATGAGTAGAGCGCGCTACTGTGCACCTCACTGGTATTTGTTACACGCTGTACTCCAGTCATTGTTAACATTGGTTTCACCAACGTATATCGTGTATTCAGTACAGTTTCTATGTTTTACTCAGCTTAAACTGGCCCAACATACATATAAACAGCTCAAATTACTGACAGTGTAAATAAGTCTGTGGTCTGATAAAGCTCTGTGGGTTAGACTTTATAATAAAGGTACAAATCATATAATACATGACTCATGATAACTTAAAGAAGGATGTATCCTGACTTCCTGTTGCTCGCCACTAACAAATGATCAAGTCACTGTGACTTTGTGATTAGTTCAAACTCAGGAGATCATCACTTAAGGAGTCTTAACTCACTGTTACTTTGTACATTAACTGTTTTTTAGGATCTTTCACTTCTTCTATGATATCATCTTCATATTTCTACCAGGATAAACCCAAGGTATCTTTGAAATTACAACATAGTGGGTGGAATCTGATCCTCCTCCTCTTATTTGTCCATTGTGTTGTAAATCTCAAAAATACCATTGGGTTTATTATTCAATTCAATTTTATTTCATTTATAACTGGAATCCTGATAATTTGGTTGTACATCAATTCCTATAATATCCCTTATCTGATGATGACGTAGTGCCATAGTGACAACAGGAATTAATTCATACAACCTGCATTAATTCATCATGAGTCCTGCATTAGTTTAAGTGTAACTGCTTTTTTTTTTCACCTTGAGGCACATATTTATGTGTGTGTGTGTGTGTGACATCCCACCAACAGGGGGAAATGTATGAATGTGTTGGTCACCACCACTCAGCTGGTTCCAGCTCTGGCTAAAGTGCTGCTGTACGGCCTGGGAGACGTTTTCCCCATCGAGAACATCTACAGTGCCACAAAAATAGGTACATATGAGAAGTACAATTAATTCTTCTCTACAGTGACGGACGAGGAAATTACATTAAGATGCTGCTTTTGGGGTTCTGTGCTGCTCAATCTAAGGTATTATTTCCCCTGTGGTTTCCTTTCACGCAGGGAAAGAAAGTTGCTTCGAGAGGATCGTCTCTCGCTTTGGGAAGAAAGTGACTTACGTGGTTATAGGTGACGGTCGAGACGAGGAGTTTGCAGCAAAACAGGTAAACTTAAACTTACTCCCTGCCTTATTTGGCGCTGTCGTGTGTCAGTCTGTAGGTAGTTTACTCAAACAGAGACTTGGCTTAATACTCCCCGCTTTGTTTGTTTTAAGAGGCATCCACATCAGACGAAGGAGCTTACACATCGAGATGTGAGCGTACGCAAGTTTAATAAATCATAAAGCCATCTCTGAAAGAACTTAAACTCCTTAAAGTCCTCCTCCACTCATATGTTTGTTGTTCCTACTGTTCGATGTTTGAGTTTCACTGTGCTGAATGATGCATGTGCAGAGTTTGACTTTCAACTGCTGAAAGTGGAAAGTTTCTCTGTGCTCATTGAAAAATATATATATATATATCGGACACAAGTTAGTGTTTAAAGCAGATTATTTGTGTATATATGGATCTTTTAAAGTTTACTGCTGCAATCCAGTCCAGTGTGGTGCTTCTGTTTGGCTGCTAAACAAACTTTTACCTCTTTTTACTATCCTGGTTTCAAACATCTCAGATATGTTCTGTTAAATAAGAGTAATTAAATGAAAATTTAATTTATATCAAGCTCTTGTTTTGTCACTTTGCTTCACCAGCTGTCGGTTTGACTATACATTAAGTGTTGTGTCTAAAATTTTTTTTTTTTCTCTCTCTCTCTCTCTCTCTCTCTCTCTCTCTCTCTCTCTCTCCGTAGCACAATATGCCTTTCTGGCGGATCTCCACTCACGGTGACCTCGTGTCCCTCCACCAAGCGCTGGAACTGGACTTCTTGTAAAGGAGGCGGCGTTGATTGTCGCACACTAAAAGGGAAAAATGTAGTCGTCGTCCTGTTGGTTTGTGGAGTGACATTGCGTGAGAAAAAAATATCCTCCACGAACCCCCCCCAAACGACACGCGCTCGCATATTAGAAACACCAATCTGCCCTCACTGACGACTAGAGACTCACTGTGTGATGGTAATGTACTGAGGCGGACTTTGGGTCGGAGCTGACTGTGAGAAACAGACTGGATGCATCATTCGGCTGAATTAAGGTTCCTCACACCCAGCACTCCCTCCTCTACGGCAGCTAACCTCACCACGGCTGAAACTGGCACTGATTAGGACACAGAAGGGAAGACATCCATATTTCTTTTTCCTCTTTGACCTTTTATCTCATTTTCTTTATTTTAGGAACAGAAACAATCCCTCTACTTTTTATTTCTCTCTCTGAACAACCAAAGGGCCATTGTTGTTTATTGGCGCTCTTTTTTTTTTTTTTGCTATGGCTTTTTATTTAGGTTCTGTTGTAAATGACAGAATATCAAAGCTAATTTGTTTTAAAAGAATCTATTTTCTGGGTTGTTTTGCACTCATTCAAAGACTTGAAAGCATCATTTGGCAGTATGAAATAATCCCATTCTAATTTTTTTAATTTCCCTCCCATGTAGCCATTCAACTATTTATCAGAAGGTACTAGATGTGGTTAAAAAAAAGATGTGTACCTCGGTCATGACCTCCTCTCCTCTCCTGACCTGACCAACCCACACCATCAGTCAGCTGTCTTAACCTCTCCACTGTGTGTGTGTGTGTGTGTGTGTGTGTGTGTGTGTGTGTGTGTGTGTGTGTGTGTGTGTGTGTGTGTGTGTGTGTGTGTGTGTGTGTGTGTGTGTGTGTGTGTGTGTGTGTGTGTGTGGTCAGTAACTATGTGCTGAGAGTCAGAGGTTCCAGTCAAACTTATGACAGACCTGGACCGGCCTTTCTATATGACTCAGTGAAGATCGTACGCGGAGCTGGACACACTGAACATCAACTTCAGAAATGACGATGAGAGTTTTGTAGTAGAGTTGCACTTCACTGTCCCAAATCCATACGATACTCTGTCATAGTATAATGTTTTAGCAGTTGGTATACAAAAAAAATATAAACGTACTAAACTGCTTTATACTAACAAGAGCGAAGGTCAAAGAAAGTTGAACACAAATAGATAAATTCTTTTAAATCTTAATAAAATATTTGTTGTTTGTTCTCTGGAGCTGTTTCACCAACAATCTCAGTTTATCTTGATTTATTTCTTTCAAGCTGTGAGTCGGTTCCTTCATTTCAAGGATAGTTTCAATCAGCGTAACACAAATTCAGAAATTGAGCATGTTTAGTCTGCGTACTGTGGTTGATGCTATTTACTAAAAACCTGCTCAGGATTAGTATGTAATACGGATTTGGGTCCTTGGGGCTCGTATCTCCAAATGTGGTGAATTTGAAGGAAGGAATCCCTTATGGGTTGAGAAAAAGCTCCTACTCTAGGCTCCATAAACCATTTAAACCTGTTGATTAGACAGACTTCAGATTAAAAAATAGGGCTGTTTTAGGGCTAGCAGCTGTTTAACTCCTGCTGTGCACTCAACTCCTAATATTTGCGTAACAGCAGTGGACAGAAACACACATTCATTCGCATTTACTTTTGCCAATTTTCTGTAAATTTGGTTAACATTGGCGTTACGTTTGAATGGAAACCCGACTGCAGATAAGAGCTCAGGATACAGGATGGAAACCTAACTAGTGCTGATCGGTTGTGGCAGGAAGGGTTAGTCTAAGCCGCTGTACCCTCCCAGTGTGAACTAAACACTGAAGGTCCAACAGCAGCGAGCTCTGGTTCACCTGCAGGATGTCAGTCCTGGTTGTGTTGCTCCTGTGTAGGAGGGCCGCTCTGTCCCCAGGGGGCCTATTGTCCCATAATCCATCCACGCTCACACCTCTCAGCCTCTGACTCAGCTGATACATTGTCAGCAGGATCACAGTTCACTCAAGAGGTTTCATTTTGAAAGTTTCCTGAGTTGTAGCATCTCATCACATTATTCACAAACAACGCTTTGAATTGTGGGAGGACAATATACCAGGACAAAGACGATAATATGGTGGTGTAGAATTACCTTTTGTTATTTCTACATGTTGCTACACAATCAGAATAGTTTTTCTTTTTTTTTTTTTAAATGTGACTGACTGACAAAAAGGTCATTTACCAAAAAGTAAATTACAGACATTATTCAACATGTTGAATCTGATAGAACTGACATTCATTGTATTAGTGACCTAAAACTAGAGCTGCAACTAACAATTATTATTACTGCTTAATATGCAGAATATTGATTATTCCATTAGATAACGTCTTTAACTTATGTCTGATCAAAACTCCAAAACCCAAAGATATTCAATTTACCATCATAGAGGAATAATAATATTCTCATCAGTATAAGTGATTTCTTTTTTACTTTTGCTTAAAAGAATAACTAAAACAATTGTCAAAACTGATTAATCAGTGAATTAACTAACAGCCTCAGCTTTTATTAAAACCCTGGGGAATATTAGTTATGTCAGACAACTGCAGTCCCACAATTACTTCATCGCTCAGCCACATGACAACCTGGTTGGATGATGACGGTGCAATACGTTTCTACTTTGCTCATTAACTGTCTTTAAGGGATTTTTTTTTTTCATCTGTAGGCGGCAAGAGAAACAGGAAGTGGAGGGGAGGGGAGGGGAGGGGGGGTGGGGTTCGACTTCCTCCTGGTCTGTTACGAGATTACGACTGAACAATACTGAGCCTGAAGAAGATTTCTTATTTACACACAAGCAGCTTTGACCGTTAAGAATGTGTATTTCTGTGTAATTTGTTTGTGTGTCTCGAGTGACTGTGCATATTTATATTGTGCCTTTAACCATCATCTGTATGCATAATCTCAAAGGGAAATATGTAAGATTTTTGTTTGATACATTTATCACTGCATTGTTATATTATCCAAAGTGTTAACTTACTTTTTTTTTTAAGTGCCGTCGAGACTTTTATTGTTTTGTTACTAGACTATTTTTGATTTGATTGTCCTGTCTGCACTGTATTTGAAAGGTCTCCTAGAAAACCATATATATCCTTTTTGGGAGAAAATGTTCATGTAAATTGCTCCGTGTTTTTTTTTTTTTTTTTTTTTAAAAAGGGCTTAAGATGGCTAACAGTTGCTTTGCTATGAGATAAATTTTCAAACTGTAGATATCTCAAATGGGAGTGACGATACATTCAGTCTCATTTTCAACATTCACGTCTGGTTTGTGTTAAGATTCTTTTTTGCTTCCTTTTGAAAAGGAGATTGCATTTATTCTGTTGCTGTGAAAAGCTTCGTATCGCTTAGAGACAATCACAATCTACAACACATAGTATTTTTAATGCAGATCGGATTACTCAAGTGAAAGGGATGTTTAACAAAGTGTCGCTTTTGATTGTTCGAGAAATGAGCGAATCTCAGTCCCGACACACGTTAGAGAAAATAGAGAGACTGTATGCAATCTTTCTGCTTATTGAATGTGTTTTCTGTTTATTTCTCTCTCTGTCTGCATGTCATATTTGTTTTGTAGTTTTTAAGTATACCATGGCTGTCGAAAAAAAAAAAAAAAAAGGCCATGCAATGTTTAAGGGGCTATATTCTTCTACGTGTCCTCTTTTTCTTTCCAATGCCAAATACTGTTGTTTTAGATGCTGTTATTTTTTTGTATTTCATCTCATTTTCAAGGACCTGTGAGGCCACATAGGGTCATGTAGAAAGTCTGAATGTGATCCTATAAACTGAACACATCATAATCGATGCTAATTTAATTACAGTAATCACTATTTTCCCCACAGTAGCTGTCTGGGACCTCGACACAGCCCTGTAAGGTTTCCCTGTGTACCTAAGACTCAATACAGTGTAAATAAATTTAAAAAGAAGTTTCAAACTCAAGTTTCTGCTTATTTATTACTGTAAAAGAAAAAAGAAATTACATTATATTAAAATAAACATTTGGTATCAATATAAACAAGGAATGTCACTGCACTTCAGTGCAGCTGTTAAAGGATAAATTAATCTAATACAATACCTGTCTATGTACAAACCAGTTCAATGCTTTTACTGTGAAAGAGCAGATAAAACAGCTCTGATACAGTCTGATGACAATCAACAAACAGTGATTCTAACAGTGACATACAATTACAAACAATAATGCTGGATTACATTCATACATTATCATAGGTAGGCAACCTGACTGTCGCCACTACCAATAAAAACTACAATATATATATATAATTAATTTAAATACATTAAATAACTCTGGCATACTATATACAATAATAAGGTTTAATTTAATGAAAATCTCAATGATTTAAACTTTAAATTGTAAACAACTTTTAATTCATCATACACGTTTGATAATAAACTTAATATTGTTTTGGGATATTTGTGGAGGGGCTTTGCAGGTTTATTTTGTGAGGGTCCATTTAACATTTTGAATAAAGCTGGAGAGCACCTTGCTTTTTTAAAAATAAAGCTCATTCACCATCCCCACCAATAATTTTCCCTTTAAGGTCCAGTGTGTAACATTTTCTATCCAGAAATAGAATATAATACTTATAGGTCTGTTTTCATTAGCGTATAATCACCCGAGTAAAAGGATCGTAGTGTTTTTGTCACCTTACAATGAGCTATTATGTTAACACTGGTCCTCGATAGGGCCGTAGTTTCTCGTACACACTTGGAAGGCCTAGCTGTATTCAGTTGGTTACAATCTGCAACTTCACTGCTTTAAATTAATTAATATATGTTTGCATAGAAAGACATCTTATACTGGTACAGCATTGAGAACTGATCTTTAAAAACAATATTTCAGTGTACATATCGCCATTTAAGTATTTAGTATTATACATTTAACATTGTGAACCGATCCTTTAACAGGAAAACAGATTAAATAATGATTGGCAGCTTTATGTGCTTTTGTACACAGCAGCACCAGGTAATGCAATCGTCACTTAAAGTCAAGTCTTGAGGTTGTATCTGTGGTTAACACGTGATTGACACGACCGTGTGATCTTAATTAATGAGGATGATGTGGTGTGTGACTCTTTCTAACTTCCATGTCCGGTGGATGTCAAGTGATGCAGGTCAGGAGTAGAAGTTCTCGGCCAACTTCCTCATTCTCTTGTTGCAGGGTTTTCTCTCGGGTGCGGGCGCGCCGCTGCGATCTGTAACATCTGTCATCGAGTCCGTCTCTATTTGAGAGCGAAGCATGAGCACAGGAAAGTCCGGCACATCTAAAGCTTGTGTTTCTTTACTGATTGGTTCCTGATCTATTGTGTCCCCTTTCAACTCCTCCTTGGCAAGATTTGGATGGTAGCACTGATAATATATCATTTTACAAAAGAGGCCGAGAATATAAACCGCAAAGACACCGACAGCAATGATTATAGCATACAAGTGCGGAATTTTATAATAAGGTGGGTCTGTACTCATCATCCAGTACCACAAACTGCAGAGGAGGAACATATCGAGCAGTATGTACCCATGATAGAGCACAGTCCTGTACCTCGTCTTCCCCTCGACCACATTAAACCAGTTGAAATACCAAATGAGGCCTACGGTGGCTCGGTAAAGCCATTCTCCAAAACGGCTCTCCATGAAGTCAGTCTTGCATCGCCAGACGAAGAAGAATAAAAGTATCCAAGAGCAGAGGAAGTGGGTGACGATGAAGCAGGGCAGCACGGAGGCGAAAAGGGCGAGGGCGGTGAGGCGAGACGAGAGGAGAAACAAGTTCCAGAGAAAGTAGACCACCGATGACGTCATCACCTGCAGCTTCTTGTCGGGCAGGAAGGAGCGCAACGAGCGGTGGTACATGGTCACGCTGATGGCGATGGCTGAGGCTGAGCCGACGGCCTTTAACACTGAGGAGGAGAAGAATAAGTAGTCATTAAAATGAATGAATGAATGAATGAACTACATGTATTCTTCATATATGTTCATATATGTATTTTATGCCGCTGGTGGGTCTCTCACATCAAAACAATAACAAAAGTCGCAGGTCTGATGACGTGAAGTGGCGTTGGATCATGGGATCAAACAAACCTGATGATTAAAACACTGAATAAAGCAGCTTCACCTTAAACATCAGTGTTTCTGTGACGCTGTTCTTCATCTGGTTACAATATAGAGTTAAAAACAACCAAGATCTAAAAAGTTTATCATAAAAATCCGCCTTGAACCTGGATAAACGGTCACTTTCTGACAGACAAACACAGCACACAAGGGGGATATGACGACACTGACAGACGACCATTACCTGAATAAAATCACAGATTTCTGAGTTTGAACATCGTTGGAAACATTTGGGATAATATAAGTACGCAACATATATAAGTGCTTATAGGTCATTTTGCTGCTTAAAGACATTTTAATAGAGAAATGTTACATGTTAAGACTTTAATGGAGTGGCCTTTTTATTTTATATGCAGCTTTGGTCTTGAGTGAGAAAGCTGTAAAACTCAGAAACAATACTTTCACTTTTGGTTAAGTATTGCACTTCAAGAAAAACTGTAATGGCACAATCAAGGGGCTAACGAATGAACTAATGGGAAATTGGGGTAAGTTCTTTGTGACATAATAATCAGGTCGCTTCCTTTTTCTTTTTTGGTCATTACTGACGCATTTGAGAAGCCTTTTTACATTGTTTATTCATTTTAAAATCCAAAATGCCCAAGATATAGTTTGTTCCTGTTAATCTTTTTTACTCCACAAACTAAATTCACCTCCAAACACACACACACACACACACACACACATACACACACATACATATATAAACAAACCAAACCTGTCTGCACTCTAAAAAGGTACAACTAAGGGTGAAGAAGAACGTAGTAAGGTACTGCACCTGTCACAGGATCGAGCTCTCCCCGCTGCATAATGACAGTGAGCATGAGCACGAGCTGAGGCGAGCTCTCTGCGAAGGTCTCTATGAGCCGCAGCATGCTGAGGTCATGGCTCAGGTACACCGCAAAGTCCTTTGGGTCTCTGCCGCATACAGACATCTCAAAGACACTTGCATGCCTGAGGAGAAGGATAGAAAACTCAGTTACTTGTAATGAAAATATATTAAAACATAATAATACCTGGTTATTATTAGTTGAATCATGTAAAAAGACAGTAATTCTGTTTTCTTTGGCGGTGTTTTCATACATATCAGTGTCACTTTGGTTCAAACAAAACCAGTTTAGCAAAAATAATGATTATCTACTGTAAAGAAGGAAACTGGTGCAAATAGTTTCTACTATTTCCAAGTAAGACAACACACAAATGAGGCTACCATTACAAACCATTACAAAAATGCACCATGTGAAGAGGAAACAGATGATGTAATCAGTAGAAGATGACTTAATGTTGTTTTCTTCTCCACATTATGGCCTAGAGTGAACGGCTACAGTACAGTATAATAGCGCCACACAATTACTCCATTCAGATTATTTATTTGGCATTTTTCCAGAACTGGGTTCATGTGAAAGGGCAGAATGAATGAGGGTGAAGCTCTCAGATAAAGAGCCACACGTAAGAGAGAAACTGTCTTTTTGAAACAGAAACACATTCACACAAACTGAAAATTACGACAGAAAATCAGCCTGAAGCAGTTTGAAAGCACCAGGATTATTAGAAGTATACAAGGCTTACGCAACCTGAAGTAGATTCCCAGCTGCAGCACATGGAGAAGTTTGAGCACTTTCTTGTTCAGGCACTTCTCAACCTTCGTCCGCTTTTCAAAGTCGTCGTAGCTGTACCACAGCCAGCTGAAAGCCTGGACGAGAACAGACGAGCCCACCAGGAACAGCAGCAGGAAACCAAGGGGCACGTAGGCCTTTTCCAAGTAGAAGGCAACAACAGCATACACATCCAGAGCTATGTCGAGCAGCAGGAATATCAGACCCACAGAAGTGAAAAGGAAGTCCACTGGGGAGTATTTGAACACAGCAATAGCCATTGTGTCTGTCAAAGTAAAGTTCTCACTCAAACTAACTGCCTGCTTCTAGTCTGGCTACATGCTTCAGGAAAGAGTTGTTTCCAGTCACTTATTAACTTCACAAGACAACCGAAAGTAGTATTTCGTTTCTCTGCTCTACAAACCCTCCCCTTTAGGGTGGTGTGAGATCTTAAAGGCAAAGTGTACTAATGTATGTGGTCATTACCAGTTTACGTACACACCACTTGAATGCTATCCCTTTAACAACAACACTACACAGTTCATCAGGTGTCGACAGAGAAACACAAGTTAAAACAGATAATAAAACAGAGTTACCACTTTAATAATAATTGCACATGGCAAATGAGGTAAAAGATTAACAACCAGCAGTGGCCTTGACTTTTGGTTTCAGCAGATTGTGTGTGGCGAAGAAGTGGCTCTACGACATCAACATGTATGAACATCTGCAGGAACTTTAACATTAAACAACCTTGAACTAACATAACATTAAATAAAACATACTCTGTCTGAAACACTGCGTCTATGTGTAGCACAGTTTTCCTCACAGCAGAGAGAGAAAGGTGTGCTCTGATCGAGAGGTCTCACATATTTAAACAAGCTAAACAAACACTGGATGAACAAGCAGTAACACCGTGGTTTGTACCTATATGACAGCAGTCACCTGTAGTTCAATATGTACGAACACTTCTGACAACGCCACAAATATGTTGGTAAAAACTGGTCTAAAAGAGCTGTTTGGCACAGCGACAGGACATAGCAGTGATTAAAGGAGAACTTATAGTCAAATCTACATTCAAAGTCCTTCAACAGGTTCCTGTAGCAGCTGTAACATTAACCCAAAAACACAAAACAGATACTCATTGCTGTCATGTAAAAACCTCAGAAAACCAAGTTGCAAATGAATTCAAATTTTGACATAAGCTACATAAATTGAGAAAACCGTCAGGGGTAACTCAACCCCTATTATAACTATTATTATCATTAAATATTACAGATAACGTATATTTATTTATTCATTGTTTACCTTGTTGTCAAGAAACAAGGTTGTTTTCTTTTTCCGCAGGTGTTCACACGACAGCAACAACAAACAGTCATATGGTTTGTATGACAGGTTGTCTTTTTCTAAACATGTACAAACTGACTCTACGTGAACAGATTACAACATTAGCTTTGGAGAAAATGTATAAAGATTAACTAACAACTTCCCTTTGTTAGTTTATTGACTAGCATAACACGTTACTCAAGTTTCAAGTAGAGTTTAAAGATATGACAGACATATCTGTAAACAGAGATTGTCTATGAAGTATGGTGGAAAGGTTTAAGGCAACATTGGATTTTTATTTGGTATTTGTGTCAATTTGATTTATAATATCTTTCTGTCATTACTATTAATGTTGAAACCAATCTTAGTTCCATGTCTTTGAGCCTGTGTTTTGGTTCATTGTGTACTACAGCCCAATATGTGTCGTTTTAGACCAATTTTTAAGGAGAAAAGTCACAAATTAAATTGAAAATAAGAAAGATTTTAAACCCAGAATGCTGCTTTCATAAACAAAAATAACTCTATTAAAGAATATTTAAGTTAAATATTCTTTAACATGTTAACATAAAGGTTACATTGTCAACCAATTCTAGAAATAAAGAATAAATAAAAAATAGAATAGCTAAAACATCAGTACTGTAAAAACTACAATCATTTTTGCATCATATAATTAAATGCAGTTCATATCGGCACGTCAGACGACACTGATACCAATATGTCCGTGATAGTCCAATATCGGCCGTTAATATCGGCCAACCGATATATCGATCGCAGAGCGTGTGAGCAGAGTGCGAAGATTTCGGATGGAGCACAAAGAGTGGATTTAAAAAAAAAAAAAAAAGCTAGAGCGGATCCTTATCTCGCGCTCCAGTTTCACTCCAGTTGCCTTTAGCTGGTACGACACCAGGATCGTTCCAGTCATTGGTAATTCCCATGTGAGCTCGAGCTTGGCTGTTTATAGAGATTCTTTATAACATATTTATAATAACTTCATGAATCATGTGTATAAGCGGGGTGTCGCTTCTTCTGCAACAGTAAAGTTTAAAAGGACCATCCTGTGATGATCTGCAGCGAGAGGCTTTTCTCCTGCTGTCTGTGTCTGATCCCCGGCATTACACATGAAGCTGCATCGTACAGCTTAAACAGGGTTTAACAATAAAATGAAAACACTGAGAAGCTTTTCTTAATTTTTGTGAGGTGAAATCTGTGAGTCTTTGAACAACAAACAGTTCCGTGAGTGAGGAGCAGAAATTCTCAGCTCTCCACTCACATGCTCTGATCGGTCGGCCTCTGAAGCATACTGAACATCTGGTGCAGCACAAACAGGCGACAGTGTAGAGATAGAGATTGTTGTTTTATCACTAGAAGGTAACATTGATTGATCAACATTGATCACAGATGCGACGACTCCGCTCTCTTCGTGCTCTCAGTGTTTCTAATGACCTTGCGCTCTGAGTAGAAATGAGTGGCGTGGCAGGCCATCCGTTTGTTGAGGAGCTGGGAGGACAGGGTGCCGTCCTGGATGGAAAAGTCTCTGAAGGACACTTCTGCATCGGGCAGATCAACGGGCAGTCCCGGGTCCCTCACGGGGGGCCTCCACAGCTTGGGGTGGAAGCAGCAGTAGTAGACGGCTTTGAAGAGCAGTCCCAGGAGGTAGGTGAAAGGCAGAGTGATGAGCAGAGGGAGGGCGTACGGCTCCGTCTGGACGGCGTCCCTGTAGCACCACCAGGTGGCCAGCAGGATCCCTCCATCGGTGGTGATGAAGGTGTGGTAGATGATGCTCCTGCCTCTGGTGCGACCCTCTGCGACATTAAACCAGCTGAAGTACCAGATGAGCCCTATGGTGGCCCGGTAGAGCCACTCCCCACCCACGCTGTCCATGAAGTCAGTCCTCTGTCGCCACGCCCACAACAAAAACACGAACCACAGCAGCAGGAGGTGGGCGGCGATGTAGCCGGGCAGGACAGAGGAGAAGAGGGCGAGGGCGGCCACGCGCGGGGCAATTAGCAGCAAGTTCCACAGGAAGTAGATCAACGAGGAACCCCAGCCCTGCTTGGCTTTGTCTGGGAGGAAGGAGCGCAGCGAGCGGTGGTAATCCACCACCATCCAGGCTATGGAAGTGGTTGATGCAGCGATGCTCACGACTGCAAACACACAAGTTAAACCATCAGCGTTGCAAACCAAGAGGAAGCGTACGCAGACACTTGTGGCGTGCGTTGACTTACCACGACCTAGATAGCGTGCTCTTACAACCTCAGCTGTGTAGCTACATTCACACACAGAACACTACCCACAATTGTTGATTTATTTGAGTTCTTTTGGGGGGTTAAAGTAAGTTAAATTAAACTCACACTGAACCGTCCTGGCCTTGTGTGTGCACAGCATGACGTAGATCATCAGGGTGAGCTGAGGAGCACTCTCGCAGAAAGTCTCGATGAGCCGGAGCATGCTGAGGTCGTGGGTCAGGTAAACGGCGTACTCGGACCCTTCCTGCTTCCACCACCAGACTCTGAAGCCTTGACGTATGGCGGAGATGTGCCTGCATGGATGAACGGACACACACACACACACACAGATTCACAACACGGACTCACCCATATTTTGTGCTTTCATTAAAACATTATTGAGCATTTTAAAACATTCGTCTCTCTCGTGGCGATACTGGATTTACAAGTTGTCACACCTCACATGTACATTCACGCTCACAGCACCTGTCACATGTTATTACCCACCTGCCTGCCTGAACCCCTCTGGAGGAACATCCAGTTTTTATCTACAGAGAGAGAAACACTCCTGAGCCTGGGAATCTCTCTGGAGAGCGTTTGTTAAAGTGTGTTTGCGTCACACAGGCTGTGGCGTTTGATTTCATGTAACTCATTGTTGAAACTTTCCACATGTGAAGAAATCTCAGTAGTCAGACGAGTATTTAAAGCCGCAGTTAAACACGTTTGTTTGTTTGTTGTTTTATTTATTCCATCGAGAATATAAACTTTAACATTTTAAATGAGGTTTGAGCAAACAACAAAGTGATCAGCTACATTATTTTAATGATTGTTTTTACAAACACAAATCTTATTTTAACTTTTATCACATTTTTCAGGTGATTTTTCATCACAAGTTGGAACAACAGGGGCGGAACAACGCCAGTGTTTACCCTACTGTTTCATGTAAAAATAATGGCTGCTGTGAAAAGGTTGTATAGGGTTGGTCCTTTTTATTGATTGTAATCTATAGTGATCCTAGTTTGATAATTCATTGACTATAAAGACTGTATAATCTCTCCCAATGCATCTACAAAATATCCACTATAAGGCTAAATGTGCTCAAAACATCTAACTGCAACTATTATGACAGATATTGTGATATGATTCATGATTAGTGACCATTTTTGCATCACAAATTTTAATTTGCACTGACAAAAATATTAAAATGATTATGATGTACAGTTTTCTGTGAGTCTGAAAACATGTTTTCTTACACAATTCTTACATCAATTTACAACACTGCTTATCTTCCGGTTGGGCGTTTAACTTTAATTTTATTATATCTTACTTCATTATAAAGCTGTTTTGACTTTACTTAGTCATTATTTTTGAGATACTAAGTCAAAATATTTTTCAAGTTTAGCATTTATTTAAGATACTATTACTATTAAGTGAAAATATTGATCATTATTTTGAAATATTAAGTGAAAATATTGATCAAATTTAACATTATTTTGAGATATTATGTCAAAGTTTATCATTATTTTAAGATACTATTACTATTAAGTGAAAATATTGATCAAGTTTATCCTTATTTTAAGATATTAAGTTAAAATATTTACAAAGTTTCTCATTATTTTTTAGATATTAAGTTAAAATATTAATAAAGTGTATCAATATTTGCAGATATTGATTTAGTATTGGTGCTGCCCTGTGTGGGAACCGTAACACTACCTGCAGAGGAAGCCCAGCTGCAGCACATGTAACAGGCAGGAGAGCCTCACTCGGTCGCCGAAGAGCACGGTCCCTCCTCCGGTCTGCGCACTGAACCCGGGCAGCTCCCGGTCGTACTTGAGCCAGAACCAGCTGAACATCTGGACCACGACCGACGACAGGACCATGAGGCCGACCAGCACCCCGAACCAGAAAAAGTCCCCGCGGAGGTAAAACTCGGTGGCCACCCACACGTCCGAGCCCCAGTCCACCAGGAAAGTGCACACCCCGATCACCGAGAACACGAAATCGATCCAGGAATACTTTGAAAAAGTCGCGCGCTCCATCACCGGTTCAGCCGTTAACTAACCGTTAACTAACCGTTGACTAACCGTTGACCAACCGACCGACCTGTTGCTGCTTTGGGGGGGGAGCTAATATTCGGCTAACGTCGTCTACCGTTACTTCCCTCCCAAAAGCGGCTCCACAGTCTTCAACCCATTGAAGACACACACGGAAAAGTTGCCCACACTTTGAGCAACGGGGTTGAACTGTGAACCCCCTCCCCAGAAGAATAGGAGTGTTAAAACGTTGCGGGCATGGCTCGAGGAACAACAACAACGCGTTGGTCTTTTAAAGTAAAAATAACTGCCACATAGTTGAGCAGCTGCTGTGTTTGTAATGATCCTGTGTGGTTGTTATAGTCCCGCCCACCGCGGCCATTGGTGGAGCCACAGAGCCACCATGTATGGGATGCCAGGCAGGTCAAATATTTATATACGTATACATTGTATGGCATGCCGTTTAGGAAATTAATCTTTGAATATATATTGAATGAATCCTTGAATATATTGAATGAATCCTTGAACATATTGAATGAATCCTTGAATATATTGAATGAATCCTTGAATATATTGAATGAATCCTTGAATATATTGAATGAATCCTTGAACATATTGAATGAATCCTTGAATATATTGAATGAATCCTTGAATGTATGGAATGAATCCTTGAACATATTGAATGAATCCTTGAACATATTGAATGAATCCTTGAACATATTGAATGATACCTTGAATATATTGAATGAATCCTTGAACATATTGAATGAATCCTTGAATATATTGAATGAATCCTTGAATGTATGGAATAAATCCTTGAACATATTGAATGAATCCTTGAATATACTGAATGAATCCTCGAATGTATGGAATGAATCCTTTAACATATTGAATGAATCCTTGAATGTATTGAATGAATCCTTGAACATATTGAATGAATCCTTGAATATATTGAATGAATCCTTGAATGTATGGAATGAATCCTTGAACATATTGAATGAATCCTTGAATATAATGAATGAATCCTCGAATATATGGAATGAATCCTTGAACATATTGAATGAATCCTTGAATATATTGAATGAACCTTGAATATATTGAATTAATCTTTGAATATATGGAATGAATTCTTGAATATAAGGAATTAATCTTTGAATATATGGAATGAATTCTTGAATATATGGAATGAATTCTTGAATGTATGGAATGAATTCTTGAATATATGGAATGAATCAATGTGACCCAAAAAAAGGATTCTGTAATCATCATGAGAAACTTTCTTAAAATATTTACTTATTATCTCACAATAAGTATTTAGTATCTCAAAATAATGACTTATCTCACAATAATGACCTATTATCTCACAATAATGACTTATCTCACAATAATTACCTATTATCTCACAATAATGACTTAGTATCTCACGGTAAGTATTTAGTATCTTAAAATAATGATTTAGTATCTCACAATAATGACATAGTATCTCACAATAATGACTTATCTCACAATAATGACCTATTATCTCACAATAAGTATTTAGTATCTCAAAATAATTACTTTGTATCTCACAATAAGGATTTAGTATCTAACAATAAATGTAAAAATGTTGCGATCGTCATTTCCAGTAAGTGCGCTACAGTACGTATAGTGTGCATAGTGTACTACACAGAAGTGTACTAACGGAAGTATTCGATTTGAGACACAGCAAATTAATACCTCAAAATATTGACAAACTTTCTCAATATTTTGACTTGATTTTGAGATTCTATGGCAACATTTTGAGAAGGTTTCTTATTATAATGAATCTTTTTTTTAACACGTTGGTGGAAATGGGCTTTCACATTTACATGACACGTATCACAAGTTGTTCAGTGTTTCACAAGTTGACAACATGTGATCTAAAGGCCAGTTCAGACCAAAGATTCACAACGAGACAGGTAGAAATTTGCAATGCATCGGTCTGCAACAATTTGAAAACCTGAAAATAATGTTTACTGACTGAAAACACACCTAATAATTAGAATTATGCATTTTGCAGTAGTGGTGAATAGGATAGTTTCCAATGGGGAAAGATTACATACAGAAAGCATGTAAATATCGTGATTAGAACAACAACTAATGCTGTACTTGACCAAAAAACGCTACAATACACTGTAAATCCAAGTTAATCTGATTTATTTCAAAATAAAAGTCTGCGCATTTAGACTGAATCATGGACAAAGAATTAAACATACAATCTTGATTTTAATTATAAATTCAGAAGTATATGTCTGTGTGCTACTAAACTGTTCACATTCAAAGTAGGAGTCACACTTCTGTTTTCTTTAACAAATGGAAATAAATTGAAAATAATTTGAAAATAAGAGATAAAATCCCCTGACAGTGCTCACAAAATTACATTGACATAGATTGGTATTTCCTCAGTATTGGGTGAGACATCTCAGTTGAACAAAATATGAAATTTCTGGGGAACACTAAGTCAATAATAATAATCTGTTTTTAATTGTAACCTTGTAGTTGTTGTTTTCCAGTAAACAAATTAAACTCAACTTTTTACTTCTTAAGTATGTCTGTTTTTATTCAAGTAACATTCAGAGTGCTTCTTCCACCACTGCTTGGATACACATTAGAGCCACTGATTAAGTATTTGTCACATAAAATAATTATTTATAGAATGTTAAATGAGTACAATAAAGAATGGGGGAAAGTCTCCCCGATATCGTCTGATGAATCAATAAACAAAGTCACTAATGATCTGTTTCAATACATTTAGCTAGGTTTGAGGTTTAGTTTCTTCACAAGTTCATCACTTGGAATAGATTCCTGTCCATTTAAATTTAAATATACTTAGACAGATACTTTAAAACTATTCAGTCAGTAAATAGATTTGCATATTCAACTAGTACCAAAAGATTCAGAGAAAAGCCTGAACAGTCAAAGGTTGTTAAACAGCCAAAGACATTATGTGTATTCAAGAGGTTTGAGGTTTCTCTCTGTAAAAATGGAGTGAAGAGAAGAAGTGAAGAGAACAAAAGAGGAACAGACCAAGAAGAAGAGATATATTTCAAAATGTTGTTTGTTAGAAATGTTAAATGTCGCTTGTCCTGTCGGTCTAATGCAGCAGCAGTCCTCTGCACTGTCATAGACCAACAATAGTGTGGAAAAGTCATCAGAACAGCAAGTGATGTAGGGTGGCCATGAAATGTATCAAACACAAGTTTGTTTTGTTGATTTCTATTTAAAATCTGCACATTTCACAACACTGTTGACTCATTAAAGCTCAATAATTAAGTTTGTCATAGTTTGTGTTTGAAACTGTTCAATCAAAAAAAGGTTCAATCTACAAGTTAAAAGTCTACTTTAAACTACATTTTGCAACATTGCAAGATCCTTTTAGAATGTGACATCTCACATCTCAGATTGTGTTTGAAACTGTCTAAAAGATTTAGTCCAAAACTCTCTGCAAGTCACATTTTATAAAAACTAGATTGTTTTCAGTTTTGATAGATGGCCCCTGATATTGATCTGTTAATTATCTCTCAACTGACTGTACTGTGAAAGAGTTTCAAGTTCAGGTTCATAAATAAAAGACGATCCTGATGAAAGTGAAATTATTTTTATAACAGAGAGACGCTGTGAAGTATAATCATACACCACGGTGCAGCAAACCAGCCCACAACCTCCTGTAGTAAAAGAAAGTAAGTGATGGATTTTGCCTTTCTTCCATGTTTGCATCCTCTGATGATGATTAAAGAACCAGTGATGTATTGACAGATACAAGAAGTCAGATTGGCAGTATATATACCTGTGAAGTAGAAAACTGTTGCCTCTGTCTGATTGTCTCAGCTAATCTCAGATTCAAACTCGTTCATCTCAAAGTTCATGCTGCTTCCAAATCACACAAATATAAACAGTGATCTGTTTCACCTGACTCAAGTCTTTACTGTGATCTCTTCAAAGATGACTCGTGTCCAAAATGTGAACATGGCTGGGAGCAGCATGGAAGAAAGTGTTATTATTTATTTTTTTTAAAAAGTTTGCTCAATCTGTCATACTGTTTCTATAGTTACCGTTGCTAAGCTATGATTGGACAGCCACTGTTTGGGGGCGGGGTTTATCGAGTGGTCATGTAGTCATCATTTAAACGTCAGAATGTTTTTTAAATTTTTTGTTTTGCTTTGAAGTTGTTGGAATGTCATGATGTCACAAAGCCGATGGAACATTCCTTTGATTCAAAGCGAACATGATTTCTATAAACTCAGGACCCACATCCACTTTAGTTATTGGAGATTCTACAGAGCACATACACTTTGTTCCACAAACACCAACATACACTACAGCTGATATGAACTCAGCAAATTCCAAAGAAATGGATCCAGCCATCCCAATGGCCACAGCGGAGACCCTTCGTCCACTCGTCAAGATGATCCTGGGCAGAATGACGTCGTCCCAGTGGACTGAGCTCCAGTCCGGATCTCTAAACAGGGAGACTGAGACTGTAATAACAGAAATGTGCATAGATGTGGTCGATACCATATCTACTCACATGTATGAGGCTTTCAGGCCAAGCCTCCAGAAAAGAGATAACACTTCTCCCAAACCATCTGGGAGCTCTTCTAGCGCTGACGGATCGCAGAAGAGTGTGTTATCAGAAGATCAAGTCCGCGAGTGTCTAGGGGACACTATTGAACATACCTTTGCCGAGGTGGCTGGTGGGAGCATCAGTTGCCCGAGCACGGGTAAGATCACAGACGTCCTGGTGAAAGAGGTGACAGAACGCCTGAACACAGCCAGCGAGGGGAGCCAACCACCGGCCTCCCGTTACTTTCCTAAAAGACTAAAGACACTAGTAAAACACGTGGGGAAGATGCTGAAAAGATCTGCTTCTAAAGTCAAATGCACGCAGATCTTAGTTAAGGAGTCATGGCAGACCACAGTACTGCCTTTAAAAGTGGACACATCATCGGACGTTGTATCGGTGAAAAGCTTTGTGGAAACAACTACAAAGACAGTTCAGACCATCCTGAGGGAACAGGTGGAGGATATCCGTTCCCTCAACTGTGATGTTGACATGTCAGAAGAGGAGTACAGCTTTCTCGAGTCCAGCACCTCCCAGAATACAGAGGAGGCAGCCTCTCTCATCGTCAAGGACATCGTCGAGGAGCTGCAATTGGACACAAATGGCACACCATCTAAACCAGACGCCAGATTCATCAGGTTATCCTGCTGGGAAAAGGTGGCCAGCAAAATTAAGGCAGTTTTTGTCCGGAAATTTGCCAAGGAGTCCTTTCTTAGACTTCTGGCAAAACTAAGGAATAAACATGACTGCTTCCCACCAACTGC